AGTTGGAGTAACCTCTATTATGTTCGTTAGATTTAAGTCTGACGAGAATAATATTCTACGACTAGCAATTCATTTATCTTCAAACCGACCGATTTAGTATCTATTATGTTATTTACCAGGCATAACACCGGGTAAAGAAACCCAATCTTGAGTGAAATAAATACCACGACTTCGGTCTTGTTCAACAAAATCATCGCGTAATAAGTCAACAAAGCCCAAAGTCATCTCTCACCTATCCCAATAATAAAAAAACCTGACTTGAATGATCCTGTATTAAGAGCTAAATTGGCAAAAGGTATGGGTCATAATTATTACGGGGAACCCGCATGGCCCAATGATCAAGTAGCTACCGGGTTTGCTATGACTTTTTACTATCGTCCGACCCTTACAGAGGCGTTTGCTTCTGTTCAATACATAATGACTGAAGCGAACTTTGGTTGGTTAATCCGGAGTAACTTGGTGAGTTGGTGAACAAGAAAGGATTATTATAAAATAAATAATAATAGCCCTTTCTATCATCTATCCAAAAGTCTTTGTGAAAAAAGCCTTTTCATTTCAATCTTTTGTAAAAACAGCTAAATTAAAAAATCGTTTATATAGTTTATATATATTTGTATAAAAAATATAGTTAGCAAAACTTCAATATCTTTGACATGTCAGATAATGGGAGTATATAGTTAATAGCCCTTTCTATCATCTATCCAAAAGTCTTTGTGAAAAAAGCCTTTTCATTTCAATCTTTTGTAAAAACAGCTAAATTAAAAAATCGTTTACTAAATACTTGAAATAATTGTTTGATACAATCAAACAGGCAAACCAATTTGAAATGTTAAAACTAATTGATAAAATGTTTACCGATCAAACACCACAAAAATAATTGATAGACCGTTGACCATGCATGCTTGTGTTATGTTACGTTAATTAATTAATTAATAATTAATAACATAAGTACATAACGAAGGGAAGACCACATTCTTATGAGGCATTTTTATGGAATGGCAATTTAAGGGCATTTTGCTAGTAGTTTGATGACACTTTGAGCAGTTTAAACGTGCGGATTTGAGATTCAATTTTGATTAGCGAGTAAAACGTCCGTGGGATTTGCTTTAAGGAGAAAGTGGAAAAAAGCAGTTCCAATAATACTCGTGCAGTCTAAAGCAGCACACCTGGATTAATCATTAACTCTCGCAATCACGCATGTGACTTTGAGAAATAATAATTGTCCTAAATGTCACTAATATATGCTTAGCTTGTAGGCACTTTTCTACAGTATGACCACTATCACACCATGCCTTTATATAACTATAACTACTATGATACAAATAATATTTCTTCAGTCATACTATAGTATCTAAAAAGACGTTCATTAAACCTATGTTGTAAAAACCGGATCGGGAAGTGACCCGGCCGAACGATCGGGTCACGGGTCAGCCCGGACCTGGCGGGTCAACCCGGTCAATGCCGGAAAACCCGGTCAACAAAGAAATACAATTATTATTTTAAAATATACATTTTTAACTAAATATAAAATGTATATTAAATTAGATGGATATTAAATATGAATACAATGCTTTATTTTAAAAGAAATTACAATACTTATTAAAAAATAAAATATTATATAAACACTTTCACTCATAATATTAGTAACCACATATACTGTACTCCATATTACTATATCTGAAGGATGTTATGTTTTTATTGGGATTATTATTAAAAAGTGAATCTATTCAAGTACTCCCTCTGTCCCTGAATTTACTTCCAACTTTCCCTTTTCGTCCGTCCCAAAAAGAACTTCACTTTCCCTTTTTGGTAAAGAATTTGTGGTTCACAGCATTTCTCTCTCCTCTGCACAACTCTTCACCACACAATTCTCACTTTCTTAATCACTGTGCCACTTTAATTTGGAAGAACAATTAGGGACGGAGGGAGTACCAGAAATCAAATATATAATATATACTCTCAAATATCAAATTGTGCAAACGTTCCACAGCAGCTCCTTGGGTTGAGGCCTAACCTCTCGGCACTTACACTCAGGTTTGAATCCCCCTAGCTGCTTAGTTTTGAATTTATTCCGGTTTATTAGAAATCTCCGGGTTCGGGCCGTCACGGGTTATGGTCCAGGTCTGGCGGGTCAGTGGGTTTTTCCGGGTTCGGCCACATTTGCGGGTTGGGTTTCTACCGGACCGGATTGGGCTCCGGGTGACCGGTTTCCGGGTCAATCCGGCCGGTCCGGTTCTTACAACACATCATTAAACACGAGATTATTTGTTAAAGTTTTAATTTACGCCGGGAAAGTTTGAATGATGTTATATTGAAACATGAGTTAGGATGTTTTTAATTGGACTGTAATTTGCTGGTCTGAACTGGTCTGGTCTGGTCTCTTTGTATTTTTATAACTATCCAAGTATGGTCTGGTCTGGTCTGAACTGGTCAGTCTGATCTGGTCTGGGATTAATTATAGTCCAAGTAAAAACATCTTTACTCTTCCTATCAGGTTGACCATTTAGTGGAACTCCGAGTCGTAACATGATATCATAGCCCAAATCGATACATAATCGTGGTGTGGGACCCCATGAAAATGATGATGGTTATAAGAAAATGACAATGACGAATTGATGAAAAAATGAATGCGGCACAATCAAGAATAAGTGTGAGGAAAGGTGGAACTCCGGCTCTTAACATTATTCATTTTATATAATTCGGCTTGTACGTGATTTATGTCTGAGTCTTAAATCTTGTAAATTTATTTATTTACAATTTACAATTTATATGCTCGGAATTGGCACACTTTAATTTGGTGGGATTGTGGGAAAGTCCTTCCAATAAAAAATATTAGGAACAAAAAAATAAGATCATTGTTCCAGTCATGCATATTAAGGAAACATCGTTGCTTCTATTAAGGAAAGTCCTTTACATCGTTGCTTCTAGTTGCGGAGTTGCGTGTCACTGTGTAGTGAGTGTGGTCAATTATTCCTTTCGATGCGTACTTATATACTCCCGTGTTTTGTTTTGTTTTGTTCTAAATTGGCGTTTCAATCTTCTATTTTTGAAAGAGTAACGTATACCTATAATAAATAGTAATAATAATACTCCGTAATAATAATAATAATAATACTAATAATAATAATAATAATAATAATAATAATAATAATAATAATAATAATAATAATAATAATAATAATAATAATAATAATAATAATAATAATAATAATAATAATAATAATAATAATAATAATAATAATAATAATAATAATAATAATAATAATAATAATAATAATAATAATAATAATAATAATAATAATAATAATAATAATAATAATAATAATAATAATAATAATAATAATAATAATAATAATAATAATAATAATAATAATAATAATAATAATAATAATAATAATAATAATAATAATAATAATAATAATAATAATAATAATAATAATAATAATAATAATAATAATAATAATAATAATAATAATAATAATAATAATAATAATAATAATAATAATAATAATAATAATAATAATAATAATAATAATAATAATAATAATAATAATAATAATAATAATGATAAGGGATAAGGGATAAGGGATAATAATAATAATACCAGTAGTAATAATAATAATAATAATAATAATAATAATAATAATAGTAATTTTATTATTATTAGAGGTTTATCTTAAAATATGAAAGAGTAAAATATTACATAATACTAAATAAAAGTTGTGGACTAAAGTGACTACAATCATACAGAATATTTTTATAGTCACTTAAAGTTGTCGTGTCATATTTTTTCTACCATTTTGATCACATATTGAGTATTATTTCTTACAATTATCATCAATGTTATTATTATTATGTTATAATTATTATTATTACTATTACTACTTTCATTCTTAAATAGAGTTTCTAGCTACTTTAAATTTCACACAATCTAATATCAAATTTTGAAAATTACTATTAGCAAATGTATACTACAGATATCTAGCTATTAAATCACTAAAACAAATTATTTAAGAGTATTTACCTTTCACAAATTTTATGATTTTCATCGTCAATGACTAAATGTTAGGGACTCTAAAAATCTAAATAAAAACTTCATTGGCGAGCTATATGTATTAGAAATAATTACATATATATCATTAAAATAAAGAATGTTTACAAAAGTGTGACTAGTGACTATAATAGTAATGGAATCATAGTAATTTATGTTGAATTTTTAAATTTAAGTTGTCATGACACTGCATTGTACTACCTCTGTCCCATTTATATTGTCCCGGAAGAGGGTGACACGGTTATTAAGAAAAGTGAGTTTGTGTGGTTGATATTGATTGATAAAGTAAGAATAAAGTAAGAATGATTTAGAGCCACACAAACTTTGCCAATAAATATGGTATGAGACAATTTAAGTGGAATTTCCCGAAAAGGTAAAACGGGACAATATAAATGGGACGGAGAGAGTAGTAAGTATTAGTTATATTTGTGTAAATAAGTTTTATTTAGTAAAAAAAATATTTGTATTATAATATTTATTTTCTCACTTCGACATTTATTCTACAAAAAAGACTTAAACTCTACAACTAACCAAATTAAACCACCAGTAGTAGTAGCAAATATATATCCCATTTGTTTGTTTTCACTTTCTTAGATCTCTTTAATTCGTCTCGCCTCATGGATAAGTTTTTAGCTTTGCAAAATAAAAATAGAACATATTAATTGGAACTCAGCCCGACCAATCGGGAGAGATTCAAATGAGAACATGATTTAGGAAGAGAAATGAAAATGATTATGGAGCGATGAATTAGGGTGTCGACGTGTCGTGCATTATGAACCGACTATTACTCTACCTACAAATGTGCACATTTGAACTTTGCATCATTTTAACTATAAATGTGCACATTCTTGAACTATATTGTATGTCATTTTGAATCATTCTCCTTTCTCACGATACGATAAGAAGTGTTTTTCCCAGAATTGTGCCCAAATTAAATACTATCGTATACCTTAAAAAAAGGGCAAGGACGAAAGTCACCACTGGGAGGCTGTTAGTAGTGGCAGCTGCTAATGTTGCTGAAGTATACTTCACAGCTACGCCATAGATGTTCAAACTCGCAGTAATCCTGCACGTTAAAATAATAACATTCTAAAAATAAGAATCAAAGATAGTCAGGTTTCTTAAATGAGACCATCATTTCTCCCTCCTAAAATGAAATTGAATCACTTCTAAAATTTAAAGTATATTGTGTCCATGATGTAAAACATAGTTATCGGACTGAAATTTGCTGGTCTGGTTTAATTTGTTTAAGTATGGTCTGATCAGAACTGGGCTGGTCTGGTATATGTCTGGTCTCTGTGTATTTTATAACTATTGAAGTTTGATCTTATTTGTTAAAGTCTGATGTGATCTATTTAAGTCTGGTTTGGTCCGACTAGAGCTAAAAACAGACCAAGTAAAAACTTTATATCTCTCAACTATCTTTTACTCCAAATTATATTATTCTTTTATTATGACCAACTGACTAAAAAACTGATATTTTAAATAATATAAATTAACATACTCGATCTTGTAAACAAACCAAATTATATGCTCCTGATCGTGATAATCAAGTTCTTCTTCTTTTTAGTTTTAATTAATAATGAGCACTCTTATATAGTTACTTGCAGCCATTCCTTTAAATGAATACGTAATAATAATAGTACGTAATGGAAGGTAATTAAAATAATAAAAAACCAACTTACCCACACAAAGAGGCCATAAATATCGTAATGGAAGTTCTTAGCGACAGATGGGATGCAGTCTTCCTGATAGATATCCATGAAGTAAAAACGATATAATTATTAATTCAATTGTACGTGATGAGTGAACGGAGCAATTAAATTAAATAAGTAAGGCGATTTTTCCTAAAATATTACGTAAAAAGGATAAAAATATGATCTAGTATTAAGATAAAAGTATGATTAGTGATTATATTTGTATTCAAAGTTTGTATATATCGTAGTCGTTATATTGCCATAGTAACTATAAACACAATTTAATCACTAAAAGTTATCAGGTTACATTTTTGTCAATAAAAATTATATGAAAATGTTGTTTCTTGAAAAATCATTGACTTCAAATTTCAAAAATTCTAAATTTTAAGGGAGGAAGATAGTATATAAAAATATACTCCGTATAATAAAATACGTTAGAGAAAATTCCTTAAATAGGACCCCTATGGTTTCTTTCCTAAAATAAGACTTATGGAATCCTAAATTAATGTGGTTTTATTTTTAAATAGGATCAAATAAATCCTATTTCGAGAATTACAAACATGTAGTCCTATATATGCATTTTGATAAACTTTTAGTCCTATTTAGAGTAATAACTAATAAGTTGACCACTACGTGATTGCTTAAGAATTAATAAGGGGGAGAATAAGGGAATCTTCCTTATAATAGACCTTCCTCATTAATCCCTCATTCTGAAGGGATGTCAATATTTGACAAAAAGTTCTTATAGCAGATTAATAAGGGATGTCCTTCCTTATTTATTGATACTGATGTGGCAATGAGCCTATAACAAATTAATGACGCCCGGTCCCTCATATAATGTGGAAAGAATTGCTGCATCACAAATTAGATTTATTACGGGGTTATTTTGAAAAAAACAATGGGGGCAAAATCTAATTTAAAATAAGTATGGGTGTCTGTTCATATTTTATCAAATACCCCAACAAAAATCATCTATCTTACTCTCCTTTCAACCCTAATCGCAACGTTCTGAAGGGTGCCGCCGCCTTCCTTTCATCTGAATCCTCACCTCGCCTCATCTTCTTCAGTCATATTTCATGTTTTCCGTTCACGGTTGATTCTACACCGCCGTTGCCTATACCTTCGTCTGAGTAGCATCGGATAAATTAACTCGCACAGCAACCGCCCCGCGCCGCCTAAATCTAATTATATGTATACGAGTTCATCTTCCTCGATGCAGCACTAGGTATGAAATTCCTTTAATTTACTTCTTTAACCAACTTAGCGTTAGACATGGGGTGCTGTTCTCTATGTATCCGAATCTGGTGTGTATTTGTAGTACTAGTATTACTAACCAGTTTAGCTTTTTTTAAAGCAGTGATATGATTTTTGTATACTCCGTATTCTGAATGTTTTGGATTAGCAATTGAAGTTCATAAGTTTGTGCTGAACTTAACAATTTCTTCTCTAATTAAGTATTATTGTGGTTGAATGGACTGAAATCCTTTGCTCAATGTAGGATATTTCCTCATAATTGGGGTTCTCAACGGATTTCTTATTCTTTTTTGTGTTTTTTCAAGTGATATGGAAGAGATTTTATTACCTTGAATCATCAATCTTAAGCCATGTTCCAGTCAAGATTATTGATTGATTATTAATGACATACTATTTCAATCACACGAGGGATTTTGTTATATTTGCGCAGAATTGTTCTTAAGATGTGTATGCAACAGATGATAACATATGCTACACACATTGAGGTATTATGATTTACCCAGAGTATATGCTTATGCTTATTAAACTGTAGTATTCTGTTGTGTTTTAAGAGTTCTCATCATACTTATTTGTAATATTTTCAGCATATATGTCAAAGAGGTTTATGACAAGTAACTTTTACAAGTAAAGATTGGCCGGGGAAGATGCTAGGATGCTTGAGTACAACCACATCTCTTTTGAGAAGAGCAGATAAGCACAAGATGGTTGTAGTCAGTGATTTGCTTCAACAATATTAGTCGGGAATTCTTTTGTAATCTAAATGTAATGATAGATGATTATTTGAATGATAATTATTTTGTATTCATATTTTTTGACAACTATTGAACTCTGTTCTGTGTAGCACAATTATTTTATTTTGTTGATTTGAAAAATTACCGTTTTTTTAGTAAAATTTATTCATAATAATAATAATTTTTTTTGGAAGATCATAATAATAATAATAATAATTATTATTATTTTAAAACAATTGCTTTTCAAGAATAAAACAATTATTTTATGTGATAATATCGTTAATAACGGAATTGCCGTTATTAATCCCTTATACAGGGTAAGCAGTATAACTCTTCCACGTAGGAATTATATAAGGGCCTATTGGCTATTAATCCCTTATATTGGTTATAAGAGAATTGGTCCTTATTGTTCAAGTAATAAGGAGCATTTTAATAAGGGATTTAATAAGGACCCATTCCCTTATTAGTTATAAGGAATATATAAGGGATCCTTATTTCAATATATTCATTGGCGTAGTGGGACCCATATAGACCATGATTTAAACTATACAGCACAGTAAGTATTATGAATATATTGTTATCATGTAAGCTAATTTAAATGGCGATGATGAATTAATATACAACCTCCGTTTAATCATGATTTGCCATATTGATTTTTCTAATGTTAAAATTTGGACAATGAAATTAATTAATATATTTATATGTAAGTCATAATTTTATATCCCAAGAAAATATTTTTAACAAGGAGTATTTTGTCCTTTCAAAAAAAACAAGCAGTATTTTGAATATAATTTTGATATTCAAAATAATTTTGTATTAGTACGTATAATATATCATTGCTTATAATTTACCACCAATACCAATGATCAAGAAAAGTCAATTTGACGGGAAGGCTGAAGAAGTATGATGAAACCGATCGCCGGCGGGGGATGACGACACGGTATTCGATCAATTGGTACGTACCATTCAACAATGAAGGCGATGGGAGCTAAGATGAGAGTGGCGATGGCCTGTCTGTAGAACACAAAGATAGAGGTGTTCATGCCATCATCGAACGCAACCTTGGAGATCAAGAACATGCCTGCATATATGGCCTGTATCACCACCACAACCAAGTATGCCTTCTTATCTCCTCCCATCGTCATATTCCTCGAGCACTTACTAAAAATAGAAAGTCTAACAGAACAATATATCTTAGCCTAGCTTCTTCAGTACTCTCTCTCTCACTATCTATATATAGAAAGAAATATGTTTGTTCGACTGGTCTGTAGTTAAGAATTGAAGGATATTATATATTGTACGAGTCTTAGCTTGAATGATACAGATGTTGTGAGAGAGCTAGGCATCTATCGGGCATATATACTACCTAGCTAGCTACATCTTCTGTAGACAAGGAGGGTACAACAACTTGGTGGCCGGCCGGGCTTGGATAATCAAGATCCTCTTCTTTTAAGTTTTAATACCCCTCATCGATTCCAATTTCAACCCACTTTTTTTTTTAAATGAATTTCAAACCACCTTTATAGTTTATAATATTGAAATTGAGTAAATGAAATGGATTGGGTCTCTGTAATTGATGAAATCGATCTCACGTAGCTCCTTGCAACAGTTTGACTTTCACGTATGTTAGTACTAATTTTGATTATAACTAAATTTAATTATGTATTAATAATCATTATAAAAACTTAGAATCTTAGAAATCCGCATTAACAGAAACTTCATAACATTTTATACATATAATAGTTAATTATATTAGTAGAAAATCATGGTCAAGGAAATGTGTGTTGTTAGTGTAAAATTCAAAGTCTTACAACCTATTAAAGAACTGGTGAAATATATAAAAGTAATAATTTGATCGTTACACAATAAAATGCAGCAAATAAATATAAAGTTATGTATTTCATATAAAATTGAGAGGTTCAAGCAATGCTCCGGGATCCCAGCAATAAATCTTTATTTATTTTAAAATTTTATTTAATCTTCTTCATTTTTAAGATCGATGTCTCGTAGTAATAAAAACTTAAAAGTCTACCTCCATTATTAAGTAATTACATTATGTTGAATTTTAGTTAGCTTTGAATACATTTTAATTCGTATTTATTAATATATTAGAAATTTAGTTTTTCAAAAATATTGTGAAATTCCTATCATTTTAAAATTTAAAAACTTAAATATTATTTTTTACTAACAGAGAATAAAATATATTAATGATCAAAGTTGTGTGCTGGCAAACGTGAAAAGGAATATGTTGTATGAAAAAAATGACAGAAGTATTAAAGAAGATATATACTACGCCGTACATTATTTATAGTAAATGATATATATTGAACTTATAGGAATTTTTTAAAATAATGTTTAAAAAATTATCTTAATACATGTAACATAACAATAATTGGGCGAGTTATATAAATTTTTCTTCAAAAACAGTCAATCATTATTTTTTTATTTTAACAATTATCACGTCAAAAGAATTTGTAAAGATACTTTAAAACACGTGACGAATAGCGTTTTTCTATGTATTTGCCCCTAAATAATGCTTTTTGACTCATACGCCATAATTTTCTTTGGGCAATTCTCCGGAAAACGCTTTTCCCCATTTGCCGAAATAAACATTAATTTTTTTCTTCTAAAGTCAATGCCCATTCGCCGGACCTCCCCATTTGGTCCATGTGCCAGCTAAAATGTTTCTAATTAGTTATGAAAAAAAGACGAATTTGATCATTAAAGGGTTTTGCACAATTGCACCCATATATCATTGTCTGAAATGAAATGTTAAAGTTAAACTTGGTCATACTATTAATCACTACGTACAAAAAACAACATTATTTGTTTGTGGCAAAACAACATTCACACAAAATTTGGTACGAATTTGACACATCGGTGTTAAATGTGAGCCAATTTCGTTAGCTGTAGTGTTATATAATGTATGAATCTAAATGTGGTATTTATAAGGATCTTACGTTGAGATTGATGACACTTACACTACCAAAAAACTCGGGATTGACAGGGATTATGCAAAATCCGTGTCAAAAATACTTCGGATCGAGCTATTTTGAATGAAAAGCGGTAATCCGTGCCAAATTCCGTGTCAGTCCCGTGTTTTTTTGTAGTGTTATAACTGTTAGAGATATTTTATGTTGTGATCAATGTTTATTGTTATTAGCCTCTTGTTGTACTTAATACTTCCTCTGTTCTTAAATAAATGCAACGGTCAACATTTCACACTTGTCGAGAAACAACTTTGACCATTAATATATATAATTCTCGATTAGTAAAAAAATAAAAAATAATAGATTTTGAAAATTTACTATGAGACAAATTTAAAAATATTTTTTTCAAAAATATATATTACTACATTAATAAATAAAACGTAGTCAAAGTAGACCACGTGAATAGTGTAAAATTCAACATGCTGCATTTATTTAAGAACGGAGGTAGTATAGAATAGAATAGCCCTAAATAGCTATAGTATGCAAAAGTGGAATATATGGGCCTCATTGATCTAAAGGTCCAATCATTGTGACCTACCCATTCCCTAGGCTATAAATATGTCTTTGAGAGAATGGAGTAGGTAAGCCTTTCCCTGATTATTCCACACTTGCACAGAGAGAAATATACCCACAGAAGTTTTACGTTAACATTTCTTCATCTTTGTGTAAGCTTCATCTCTATCAATGAAAAGCTTCCTCTACTTCTTTTGAGCTGCATTTCATATATTTCTAAAGTAGAAACAAGGACCCAACATCTGATATCAGAGCCACAGCTGATCGACCAGTTGACGTTGAAGAAAACTTTCGTGCGTGAGCCCCTCTGCTATGTGCGTGAAGTTTTTGCTGCTTCTGTTTGATATTTTTGCAAGTTAAAACCCCAAAATGAATGCTGGAAGTTGTTTTTGCCAATAGATGAAGATCATTTTCTGCATCATCTGCACAGTTTTAGGTAGCGTACAAGTTACACGGGAGGAGCGCGAAGTTTTAGTTTAGTGTATCACTTTGTGCACGAAAATAGGTTTAGGGCATCAGTGCTTGTGCACGAAACACTCTGTGCGTGAAACAACAATTGGTACATCTCATCTGTGCGCAAAGTAAAAGTTCACGCATCACTCTTCGAGCGCGAACTTCCGTGCGTAGCTAGCTCTCCCGACTTCTAGGTTTAACAACTAGATCTACAAGAAGAAGAACTCATCTTCTAACCGGCTTCGCAAGTCCTTTACCAGCACCAAGCGGAAAGAACGACCATTTGATACATCCGAAGTTGTGGATGTTGAGGATGCCCCTAAGTGCTTTAACTGTGGGAAGCTAGGGCATCTCATTAAAGACCGCAGGCTGTCGAAAAGAAGGAAGGACACTGATTACTACATACAGAAGATTAATCTGAACAAGAAGAAAATGTTGCTGGCTATGAAAGATGATGGGAGCAAGAGTGCTCTGATGGCTGAAAAAGATGATTGGATGGATGACTCATCCGATGAAGAAGACAATAATTTGGCGCTGATGTCCATGGTGGAAGAAGAAATGAATGAAGTTTAGAATGAAACTGTGATTGCTCCTGCTGCTGAAAACAAGGATTCAGATGAGGTTATAAGTATTTCTAATTCTTTTGGTTCACCTTGTTCTGAATCCGATCCTAACCATATAATTAAGGAGCTTGAAGGGAGACTAGAACACAACTACAATGTTTAAGTAAAACAGCTTGAGAAGGAATCCTACTTAAACTTTAAAATAACTAATTCACATAACAAGATCACTAAGCTAACCCTAGAAAATGAAAAACTGGGAACTAGCGTTAAGGACTTGACTCAGAAGCTTAGTAGCACTAAAGCTGAGAGTTAGACTTTATGTTGTGAACAAAAACACTTTTTCCCACTAGGGATTCTCTTTATACAAAGATTAAAGAACTTGAAGATTTGTTAGCCAAAAGGGATCAAACAGATCAGACAATTTTCCTTAACCAGCCTAAGGACACTCGTTTCTACAGTTCTAAGGAAGGTCTAGGGATCTCCTCGGTATTTGAAAAAGGTCAATTGTGTTTAACTCTATGATGTCAAATACATGGGATTAGGTTTGACCAAACTCATGGCCTTCACTGGAGCTGAGGAATCAAATGCCCTCGAGGATGACAGAGAAAGACTAAGTCTGGAACTGAGATTCCTTTTGACTATACTAATCTTGATCGAACAAGAGCTACAAAGATAGAGAGATCCCGTTAACATTTGAAGAAGAGATTCTCACTTATCCGCGTGAAAAAGAGATTTTGCAAGATAGATAGGAACCATCAACTTCTGAACCTGAAACAAAACCAGCATACATTCCATCTCTCGTGAAAAAGTTCGTTGAGTTAAAAGAATATTTTGAAAAGGAAAAACACGTTCTTGAACTTGAAAAAAAATCAACTTTTAAACGAAATCACTTTGTTAAAGAAATCCTCTCAATCTAGCACAGGATCCCAAACCTCTTCCCCCTCATCCTCCGAAAAATGTTTTGAAAATTAAGCAAACAATTTAAAACTTCTATCACTCACTAAAAGTCTCATTCATCACCAGAAAACCATGTGAAGAGGAGAGTGGAGAAGAAAGAAGAGTGGATTGAAGAGAAGTTGAGAAGAAGGAAGAGTGAAGAACAGTATCATCTTAAGAATAAGAACAAGTACGTGTTCTAGTGAACCTTCTCCTAGTCATGCTAGTAGTCATGTTCCTAGTAGTTCTATTTCTAGCACGTTTATCGAGTGCCATAGTTCCTTGAACTTTGTTAAGTTAATAAATGCTTGCTACTTTGAGTTTGATTCCTACTCTAACGAAGCTAACAATGTGAATGTTCAGAAACGTTCAAAGAAGCCAACTTTTGTGAAAGTGGATGTTGAGGGTGAGTATAAACTACCATTTTTAAGGTATCCCCTCAAAGTTCACTCACTTAAACATTTGAGAAGACTCTCAGAAGAAACAATTTTAAAAAAAACATGTGTCTGAACAATCATTCACTGTAAATGAAACCTCCCCCGCTCCAAAGTTCAAACAAGAATCGGTTCCTAAGGCCAAAGTTGACAATTCAAAAACTTCAAATTCTTCTCAATCGGCTGGCTTAGGTTCCCACATTAAACAAAAGGTGAAACAACTCTTCAACATTAATAAGGAATGACCCATCTAGAGATGGGTACCTAATCAAACTTAATCTGTTTTGCAGGTCACTCATGTGTGGCATCTTAATTTTGGTTGTTCGTCACACATGTCTGGACACAAGGAACTGTTGAGCAACTACACTAACCGATTGGAGGAAATGTGAGATTTGGGAACAATGCATTGTCCCCTATACTAGGAATTTCGGATGTCATTTGTGAGAATGCCACGATCAAGAATGTGTCATTTGTTCAGGGAGTGAAGCACAACTTGCTTAGCATCGGTCAATTTTGTGACAGTGGAATG